CACTCTGTCCTTAAGGTTAACATTGTGAAGTAACTACAATGTTGTTGATCAAATGTAATCCATCCTCAGTTTTCTCCTATCACAGCCGTTAACTCTGTAACTATTTTAAAGTCACCATTGGCCTCATGGTGAATTCCCTGAGCGGTTTCCTTCCTCTCCGGCAACTGAGTTCGGAAGGACGCCTGTGTCTTTGTAGTGACTGGGTGTTTTGAGCATAACTTCACCATGCTCAAAGGGATATTCAATGTCTGCTTTTTTAGTTTTACCCATCTATAGGTGCCCTATAGACTGCTCGACTGAGAAACCTTACAGATAATTGTATGTGTGGGGTACAGAGATGAGGTAGTCATTAAATAATCATGTTAAACACTATAATTGCATACAGTCCATGCAACTTATTATGTGACTTGTTAAGCACATTTTTACTCCTGAACTTATTTAGTCTTGCCATAACAAAGGAGTTGAATGCTTATTGACTCAAGACATTTCAGATTTTCATTTTATTAATTCGTAAAAATTTCTAAAAAGATAATTCCACTTTGACATGATGGGGTATTGCGTGTAGGCCAGTGACACAAAATCTCAATTTAATCAATTTTAAACTCAGTTAAGGGTTGTGAATACTTTCTGAAAGCTCTGTATATCTTAAACTTGCTGTTAGACTTGATACACAGCTAACCTTGATTACACACATTATAATTTATACGCATCAGTTGGAGTACGGTTCAATTATAAATCATTGATGAAATGATGTACTACATTCTTTGTTAGGCCAACATACCAGCACATGCCTAGTAGGGCACAATATTTGTCAATATTGAGAAAGAGCATGGGATGTATGGATGAGTTTCTGTACTGAACGTAATATTCAGAATTCAATGACCCAACACACCTCCAGGCTGTGTCCCTTACACAGCCTGGAGGTGTGTTGGGTCATTGAATTCTATTTTAGTGTTGGAGTGTTGCATCAGATGACCTGGCCTCCACAATCACCCGACCTCAACCCAATTGAGATGGTTTGGGATGAGTCGGACTGCAGAGTGAAGGAAAACCAGCCAACAAGTGCTCAGCATATGTGGGAACTCCTTCAAGACTGTTGGAAAAGCATTCCAGGTGAAGCTGGTTGAGAGAATGCCAAGAGTGTGCAAAGCTGTCATCAAGGCAAATGGTGGCTATTTGAAGAATCTCAAATATAACATATATTTTGATTTGTTTAACACTTTTTTTGGTTACTACATGATTCCATACGTGTTATTTCATAGTTTTGATGTCTTCACAATTATTCTACAATGTAAAAAATAGTACAAATAAAGAAAAACCCTGGAATGAGTAGGTGTGTCCAAACTTTTGACTGGTAGTGTATATATGTTATTTTAAATATATATATTTATATTTATAGTGTTGTTGTCCATTAGTTTACTCAAATTAGGGGAGGGGTGGTAGGGTTAGGGGAAAATAATATATTTTCCTTTATTATTTTCCCCTAACCCTACCACCCCTCCCCTAATTTGAGTAAACTAATGGACAACAACACGTAGGCTTCTACTTCCAGTTTATACACACTATATACATTTTATGGACACAGTACATTTTACATTAGTTATCTTTTGTTTGTTTTTAGTCCCATCCTTCAGCTACACTCAACCCAGAAGTGATTTAATTATGAAGTAAATGGACATGAAGCCTATGAGTTTTGATATTAAGATGAAATTCGATTTCCCGTTGGCTTATCACTACTTTTAGCCTACATTATTAGCCTATATATCAATAGGCCTAGCCTACTGGTTAGGCCTTTTAACTATCCATTTTGTTGTATTTTGAGATATTAGGCTACCAATATTTTTTTGTTTTGTTTTGAATCACTATTTCTGTTGTCACATTTCCTCATTCTCCTTATTGTATTTCTTAGTCTTCAGTGGCAACCCTCCTGATGTATCATATCAAAAAGTTCCGTCCTGCTAACAGTAGCATAGCACCACACCACTTCCACAGTCTAATTGTTGTATTATAATTGGTCATTTAGCAGACGCTCTTAACCAGAGCGACTTACAGGAGAAATTAGGGTTAAGTGCCTTGCTCAAGGGCACATCGACAGATTTTTCACCTAGTGGGCTCGGGGATTAGAACCTGCGACCTTTCGGTTACTGGCACAACGCTCTTAACCACTAAGCTACCTGCCGCCCATGTTGAGTTGCTCCGAGGGAAGAGGACCCGGGCGCGTGTTGGACAACACAAGGCGGCAGTCCATTCAGCGAGAGGAGATCTCCTTCTTAATAAACACATACAAAAATCAATAGTATCATAACAGCTGATATTTATTATTCATTAATAACGAGTTTTACAGGCCTGAAACCACCCGCTGAACACGAGGGAGAGACCTGGAACCCCTGGCATTTTCTGGACTGACAAGCTCTGTCAGCCAGCGTCTGTCATGTCTCTGTTTCCGTATCTGACCATGTAGGCCAGGCCCCTAGCGGACTGCGGCATCCGGTTTAACTAGCTTGGACACAACTGGATTATATACACACACCTGTCTTTGTGGAAAGGAAGTGTAAAAAATTATTTATAAACTGGGTGGTTCGATTGGCTAACAGCACTGGTATGACAAAACATTTATTTTTACTGCTCTAATTACGCTGGTAACCAGTTTATAATAGCAATAAGGCACCTTGGGGGTTTGTGATTATGGCCAATATACCAGCGCTAAGAGCTGTGTCCCGGCACTCTGCATTGCGTCGTGTTTAAGAACTGCCCTTAGCCATGGTATATTCGCCATATACCACACCCCTTCGTGCCTTATTGCTTAACTAGAAGCTGATATTTATTATTTATTTATTAGCCAGATTATATTTACTCAAATGGTTGCAGTAGTCTTTAAATCCTGTGCCTTCCTCTAAATTCCGTGTAGCTCAGTTGGTAGAGCATGGCGCTTGCAACGCCAGGGTTGTGGGTTCGGTTCCCAAGGGGGACCAGTATGAAAATGTATGCACTCACTAACTGTAAATCGCTCTAGATAAGAGCGTCTGCTAAATGACTAAAATGTAAATTTAATTTTGCTTCAAAGTGATACAGTCAAGTATTATGTGACTAAATCATATGCATCAACGAATAACTTATCTCTTAAAAACATTTCATGGTGTCATACCTTTACCTAAATTTACCTAAATTATGTTTTAATGTTTGTAAATAAATAAAAGCAAAGTGTATTTGGTCTGATGCCCTTACGTTGTTTTTTAATTAAACCCTTAAGGCCACAGTTTATGACAAGACTCGGTCTCATTCAAAGTTATTTGAGGTGCGATAAATAATAGTCGCCATTTTTTCAAAAGGTTTGATTTTGTATTTTGGTATTGGTACTAGGGTAAAGTGTAACGTAGGCAAGTAATTTGGTAGGCCTAACCTAGACTGTATTCCCTCCCCATGATGGCTTATTCTAAATGTTATTTCTCATTGAAACAAATCAATATAAACAAAATTTGAATTAAAAAGGAGCATAATACATTAAACATTGATCAATATCGAATGGAATCATTCATACGCTTAATTGCTTTGGACATTGACGTAATCTTTATCAAGTTCTGTCCACCACCATACTCAGAAACAGATTTAAATGGTTCCACTCTAGAAATGATCCGTCAACCTCCCACCCCGAGAGTGTTCTCCCATTTCAAAGCACCAGCTGCTCTCTATTCTAGCAGACGAACAGACATCGAATGGAGATTGTTGATATATTTACCCCAAAATAACTTATAGGAGAAGATGAGGTAAAACGTGCATGGTTTATTTTAGTTTCTGTCGCTTACACAGACACATTAAAGCACACATTCACAAATATACGTTGTATTTTAAATAAATTAAGTTCAAATAAATAGGTAAATAAAAAGAAACCAAACTAAGTAAAATTGTGAAAATATAAATAAGTCAACAATTCCTCATGTTTAAAATATCTACAAAGTGCATTGAACTCTGGGAATGCAATGTAACCAATAAATCCATCCATGACCCAATAATAATAATAATAATAATAATAATAATAATAATAATAATAATAATAATAACACAAATATTTTCGTGTTCATGTGAGGACATAAAAGGGCAGTTTTACAACATAATTATTCTAAATAATTTGATTGTCAAAGCATCATTGCAGTGAAATTAGTACAGACATACACCATGTTTAGCCTACATATCTGTGAGTCATCTAATTCAACCATAACTTCGTGTAAAAAACGAAAAATCGAAGAAACTATTAGTTATTTTTGTGTTTTTATACTCATACAGTCCAAAATGACCATGAATGTGCCAACACTAGTGTAATGAGGTAGACACAGATAAGTATACTGTGTATGTCCGCGTGTACGTGCGTTTGCCCGTGTGTATGCTCTCTTATTGCAATGCATTCAGATGGGTTTTTAGGACTATACATTCACACATAACGCCCTACGCGTAAACCATGCAATGGATTACAGTTATACCCCCATGTTACGGAGAGCCAACCATCTCTGAGACACAGAATGATGACAACATTAAGCCCTAAGCATCAGTTAACTTCTGCAAACAACAATTTGATTATTATTATTTTTTAAATAACGAACTAGATGCGCTCTTCACACAAACAGGTGCAATGTATTCACAAAAATGTACAATGATAAATATAAAACAGTTATTCTGACTCAAGAGAATAATAACAATTATTATTCGATTTCCATTTTTTGTACAATAATTGCCATGAGTTAAGGGGTTGGACTTCTCTTTTCCGCCTGAAGAGTATGATGACTTAGATCTCCTATTTCACTGTTATTGTATTCGTCGATATGTTGAGTTTTAAATGTCAAAAGATATAGCCTACGTTTCGCCCCGGGGGATATTGGTTTTCAAGTCTTTATCCAATTCAAAGGAGCGAAGCGCATCTTGTCTGCCAGCCACTATTGGCCACCTTAGCCGTTTACCTATTTGTTTCTGATTTGTCTATTCGATTAAAGTTTTTCTCTGCATTTGGCCTAGTGTGTTGCAGAGAACTTCATCCTTTTCTGCTTTTGCCTTTGATTGCAAAACCACACCCTGACCACGTTTTTCTTCAGGTCCAGTTTCTCGGCTATCGCTGCAATCTTCTCTGACGAGGGCCTTGGCTGCACGGCGAAATATGCCTCTAAAGAGCGCTTCTCCGGAGCAGCGATGGAGGTACGTTTTCTCTTCTTGTCTCCTCCGTTGAAAATCTCCGGCTTTGTCATTTTCTCCCGCTGCGCCCTCTCTGCCTCCTCCAGCCACGCTTCCAGAATGGGTTTCAGGGCCACCATGTTATTATGAGACAAGGTGAGGGACTCGAACCGGCAAATCGTGCTCTGACTGAGGCAACCAACCCCGGGGATTTTAAGGTTCGCCAGGGCCGAGCCCACGTCCGCCTGCGTAACCCCCAGCTTGATCCGCCTCTGCTTGAACCGCTCTGCGAAGGACTCCAGCTCCCTGGGGTCTGGCTCTGAGTCCCCGCCGCCGCCCAGCGAGGTGTGCGAGCCCATGCTGTGGGGGTGCATGTTCATGGCCTGTTGGTGATGATGGTGGTGCTGCATGTGGTTGATGGCGGACATGTGGGCGTGCGGATGGGAGGCCGTGGAGCAGACGTCAGAGCCGGGCATTCCTCCCAGGGAGATGGACATGCCGGGGGTCAGGTGGTCCAGAAGGTCGCCATCCAGGCCCTGAGAGCCCTGGTGATGGGGGTGGTGGTGGTGGTGGTGCGAGGTGAGCACGGATGGGTGGTGGAGGTGGGCCGAGGACGAGGTGGGGGTACAGGTCATGCTGGTCATGGTGGTCATGGTGTGGTAGGTCGCGTCTGGCTTGTAAGGGTGGCTCTTTGCGATATCAACCGCCGCCAGCGCTTCTGCCCTCTGCAGTAAAGTCTCATCAAAGCCGGCGAAGATGTTGCCCTGCAGCTATGTGATGGAGAGGAGCAGGGGAAGCAGAGAGGAGACAGGTTATTAATGCTGCCCAAACAGGCACCACTCAGAGTTTAGGATAACTTTGGATAATGTTTTTTAAATGGAAATGCATTACCCACGAGGTTTGAAATGTTTACATTTTGTGGAAAGATTATAAATGACATTATCCACAATAAGTAATTGATCATCCACAATATCAAACTGTTTAGTTAATTTAATGTACCAATACGTGACTATAATACCAACTATTCATATGCCCAAATCATCCACTGCACCATCACATTTGATTATTCGTTAAAAATGATCTTCAATAATTTCTCTGCACCATGGAATGAGACGAATTTGACATGAGAGACTGACTGAATACATGATATTGACAATACGATATTGACAATACGTGATTTTCGTGTAATTACAAAGCATTTAGCGAGTTGCTTCACCCAATGTCCCATTCTCCCCTACAATTTATATTGATTACTGCATTGTTGGGTTTAGAGCTAGCAAGAAAGGCATTTCACTGTACTTGTGCCCGTGACATTAAAACTTAAAACTTGAATTAAGGCTATACCTTTCATTCTTTTTTTTATTAATTATTTTATAATTATTCTTGATAATTGCATAATTTGAATGTGATGGTAACTCACCGAGTGAGTGGGCATGCATGCCCTCCGTATGGCCTCGGAGCTCGATTGCAGAGGCGTGTATTTCGGCTCGTGCAGTATGGGATGCATACTGAAAGGTTGTTTGCTGTTCATTGACATCATGATTGCAGAAGTTAGTGAGGGTCGTTTTCCGTCTTCCTCGTTTGGCTCCGTGTTGGTCCGTTGTCACTAGAAACGTCTCAGAATTAAACAAATTGATATAATTTTTGGTTGGTTGAGGGTGATGGTAGTGCTGGTAACGATGACAGGTTTAAACCTCCTGTCTGCTCCCCTGTAGGTCTCTCTCTATCCGGTCGGACCCCTCTGCTTTTGGCTCTAGTATGGATGCTACCTAGCAGCCACCTAAAATATAACGCTGTCTTAATGGCCCCGCCCCAACGGTGGGTCATCACCCCCTCCTTTCCCCATTGTCTCCAAATGTTATTGGGAAATGTGTATGTAACCACGCCTCCTGAGTGAAAGCCACCACCCACTCCGACGCGATGATTGGAGGATTGATTTTGACAGGTGCAATGGCTGTTTCTCAGACCGACAACACCCTGTGTGCAGGTTGTTGTGCTTTCTATTGGATCGGTTGAATTTTATTCCATGTCCTAATTTCTGTAATAACTTTGTAATAGCCTTTATATTTTATTTTTATGAACATTCGATGATCTAACGATTTTTTTTTTTGTCTCTGCTGAAACAAAAAAACTCCAAAGTGATATCTGAAATTAAATGTCAATAATAGCCAGCAGTGAAATACCTCCAGTGAACAGTGGATTCAGACAAGCTTTTGTTTAGGTTCAATTATGAATTGATGGAAGACCACACAAGAATCCTCCCTGACACCATTCCCTTTTATTTTCTAGCAATTAATACATACATAAATCATAGATCATTTACTTTGTGGTGCAAACCACAGTATGGATCCCTAATTAAAGAATAAACAGGTCAGAATGGATATGAAGCACAGGGAGGATTATGAAATATTTACTGTTGAACTGCAGGTCAATGGAGCAAGTGCTGTCAATCACAGTCTATATCCGGCAGGCTGAGGAGATAGTGATGGAGATGGACCACCCCTCTAGGCATGGTTCCCACTGCCCCTGTCTGCTCCTCCCTGGTGGGGCAGGGCTCTCCTAGAAACCCCCATCACAGATGTGGGGCTGGGGGGTTTCTTCCTGACATTTTCTCTTATAAACATGATGTCAAAACCACTGTTGAATAGTTATAGATTTTATAGAAAGTTCTGGTTCCAACGGGTTGAGCCACCCAAAAGGTACAAATTGGATGGCTCCATCCGCAACATTTCAAGATAGCTTACACTCACCCCCTTTAAACCCGCTACACAGCGACCCCAGCTGTCAAGCTGAGCCCAACTGCTCATCCGAGTCACTAGGCACCACTGTTACAGAAGTCACACGCTGCTTGTTTAGCAAGTACCACTTCCTCCTGATACGGCTCACACTGAGGCTCGAAACCAGGATCTCTGCCTTGCTAGCAGGGTTGTATAGGTTACTTTCTAAATGTAATCCGTTACAGCTACAAGTTACCTGTCCAAAATTGTAATCAGTAACATAACTTTTGTATTACCCAAACTCAGTAACATAATCTGATTACTTTCAGTTACTTTTAGATTACTTTCCTAAAAAATGAATATTACCAATTGAATGACATCTATTGCAGGATCAATCAATGTTAGAGTTTACATAGCTGGCCATACATGGATGTTGCATTTAACTTCATGGGTTAGGTATGTTTCTAACCCATTGTTTTCTACTTCAATACAGATAATAATACGATTAGGCTAACTTTACATTAAAACCAAAGCCTGTCAGATTTCCAGTCATTACAATCGATTACATACCCCTTGATCTTCAAGAATATGACTTGGAAACATTGATTAGAACAATTGTTTTACCTGAACATAACCCCAAAGCTAAGGACTTATTAGCCTACTCTGTTGTTTATGTTATTGTTGTCATGGAAGATTGATTGGGCCCATTGCTTCAAAGCAATGTTGAAAAATAAATGCTATTTGCATGTGAAAAATGATCGCCTGCCTATTGTTTACGTTTTTCTTGGTGACACTTTGATATCTCGATAATTTCAGCTGTTGAAGTCTAGCCTATTAAAATTGCACAAGTTTGAGCAGGTCTGTTAGGCCAATGGAAAAAATATTGGATCAGCACAAATTAGATTGAGTAATAAAAAGCCCCACTTGTGGTCTTTTGAAATTAAACTTGTTTTTGACAGTATGTGGAGCACAACACCACAGAGGAGTTTAGAAGAGAGGAACTCCCTCAAACTTGTATTCCATGTAGGCTGGGATCCACACTATGCAGCAGCTGTTGCAAGAGAACATTTTTCACTGGCTGTCCAATGGTCGCAAAAACTATGATTGATAGGCAATGATTGTTAGGCACTTCTTCAATTCAATTATTGGGTTACACAGGCTACATTTATAATTTGTAAACAGCCATTCACAACATCCACAATCCGTAAAGGCGCGTATAATTGAGAGAGCAGCAGTGTGATTCACATCATTGCTATGTAGATATCAATAAAAGGCCATGTGATATCTGTAGCCTATCTCCTGTACGCTACAACACCGCTGTCGTCCTTACCTCCAATATTTAATTCAATTTGGATGTATAATCTTTAGATGCCAACAGTAGTCTCACCATTGGAAGACCTAGTTTGTACTGTAGCCTACAAAAACCTATTCCTGCTCTTTTCCCGTGATCCATGAAACGCATTTGGTGTGTCTTTATGGTCTCTGACTTGTGGTCAGACTAGCTCAGGCGGAACAAACTTAAACTTGCACCTTTTTTCAATGCTGATTTGAATGTCATTGTGGAAATGGAAAGGTGTCATAATGTATTTTTTTGCACACATACTTTCTGAATTTAAAAGTAATCTAAGAAGTAATCATATCAAAAGCATCTGTAATCCGATTACAATATTTTTTGCTGATAATGTAATGGATTATAGTTACAGTTTTTTTGTAGTCCATTACATATAAAGCAATCCGTTGCTCCCCAACCCTGCTTGCTAGCACACATGACCGGCCTCCTAAAGGGTCTTACCAGTCAGCGCCATGTGAAAAGCTAGCTGAGGAGTACGTTTCACACATCCCCATGTGCTAAATTCACCCCTCAAACGTACTCAACAGCGTTACCAGCGTTGAGCTGAGTACAACTGTAAATCCGAGTCACAGCACCATTGTTACCGGACGTCAAGTTGCTTGCTTAGCGAGTACCACTTCCCCCGATTCGGCTCATACCTGGCTCAAACTCGGGACCTCTACTTTGCTAACATATGTGACCGCCCTCCTTGACAACGTTCCAATGGGTTGAGCCACCCACAAGCTACTAATTGGATGGATCCATCCGCAACATTTCAAGCTAGCTGTGGAGTGAGCTTACGGTACATTCTTAACTCTCTTACATTTGCATAGAAATTAAATGCTGAAATGGTGGTTTACAGCAGTTGTAGTTACAGTTAGTGAAACTAGTGTCACAAAGTACCATTTGATTCCAGGTATCCAGTGTTACTATATTATTATAAATCAACTTGTATCAGCGTTGAAGCTTCATCAGGGTGTTGAGATAGCATGGTCGTATATCGTTCTAACTGGGGATCTGAAACCCCAGACGCATTTGTGTGTGTTTCTGTGTGTGTGTGTATGTGTGCATGCGTGTGTGTATGTGTGTGTCAGGGAGACACAGAGAGAACTGTGAAACCCCAGCCCTGTCAGAGCGGAGGCCCCACAATAGGAGAGGGAGTCTCTTTGACTGTGAGTCAGAAACAGAAACCGGAGCATGGTGATGGTGTCGGGGTGCAGCAGGCTCAGGCTGCAGCCATTATGCCCCAGCAAACGCCTGTCTCTCCTCTCCTCAGTGGCAGGACCGCGGCACCCGCTCATCAAATATACATCATCTCCACTGGGAGAGGCGCTCCTCTGGGACAGACAGACAGATAGGCAGTGGACCGTGGGCTGCAGCTGTAGAGGAGCAGACAGACGGACAGGGAAAGAGGGATAGACTGATGGACAAACAGAGAGAGAGTTACATAAAAGACAGAGAAACACATAGTAAATAAATAGACAAATGAATTGTCAGAAAGGAGCAGAGAAACAGGCATGCAGACAGGCAGGCAGACAGGCAGACAAACAGGGACATACAGACAGAAAGACACAGACAGAGAGAGAGAGAGAGAGAGAGAGAGAGAGACAGACAGACAGACAGACGCAGTAGTAAAAACTATACAAGAATGTGCACATTTACGTCATGATCATGACCTCTTGCTCTCAGCTGTGAGTTGACTGTATAAATAACCCTTCTAACACCCATCGCTTCTAAGCCCCACTGTCAACATCAGAGTGGCAGAGCTCAACACACTGTCACTGATGTTTGGGAAAATAAGCCAGAGGAAGTGGTTGACTGGTGCTAATTGAGTGTTTTCATCTATTAATTCTGGGGCTGGGAATTCTTTGTTTTGACTGCATGGTGGAGTAGCTGCTTCCATGCCTAAAGGTACAATGGCTTGCGAAAGTATTCACCCCCCTTGGCATTTTTCCTATTTTGTTGCCTTACAACCTGGAATTAAATTTGATTTTGGGGGGGTTTGTATCATTTGATTTACACAACATGCCCACCACTTTGAAGATGCAACATATTTTTATTGTGAAACAAACAATAAATAAAATAAAAAAACTGAAAACTTGAGCGTGCATAACTATTCACCCACCCCAAAGTCAATACTTTGTAGAGCCACCTTTTGCAGCAATTACAGCTGCAAGTCTCTTGGGGTATGTCTCTATAAGCTTGGCACATCTAGCCACTGGGATTTTTGTCCGTTCTTCAAGGCAAAACTGCTCCAGCTCCTTCAAGTTGGATGGGTTCCACTGATGTACAGCAATCTTTAAGTCATACCACAGATTCTCAATTGGATTGAGGTCTGGGCTTTGACTAGGCCATTCCAGGACATTTAAATGTTTCCCCTTAAACCACTCAAGTGTTGCTTTAGCAGTATGCTTAGGGTCATTGTCCTGCTGGAAGGTGAATCTCCGTCCCAGTCTCAAATCTCTGGAAGACTGAAACAGGTTTCCCTCAAGA